CTCTCTCTCCCCCTCTCTCCTCTCTCTCCCCCTCTCTCCTCTCTCTCTCTCTCTCTCTCTCTCTGTTGTGAAGTGGAAACACATGTAGCATAGCGCAGCACTGGGTAATGTTACAACAGCAATCCACTTGGAGCAGAGAAAACTTAGAGAAAAATGAAATAGAAGAGGTGACAATAACTGTTACATTTGAAGAGGCCTTCACAGATGCATTTTCATGAGTATTGTGTGCTGTTTGTGCTAAATAAATGGCAGTGTTACTCTAGCAGAGCGTTATCATTCAGTTCTCAGCACAGGCACTGGGCTTCGGGATTCACTGAATTATACAAGTCTTATAACAACTCTGGGAAGTACAGGTAATTATTATCTTCAGCTTACAGATGAGGAAACTAGGGTCAGAGAGGTTCAGAATCACAACAGAGTAGACAGGAGAGCAGGGAGTTAAAATCTGGCCAGTTGACTTCAGATCCCAAGCTTAAAAATTACAACACTTCTCTTTCAGAAAAATGCTATCGCAGTATAAGAAGATCTCCTACTTAAGAAAGGACATGCAAAGGAGACAGGACTGAGCTGAATCTTGAATGATAGCAAGAGGTGACGCGAGGATGATGGGGGAGAGGAGCCGAGCAAGGTCAGCGGTGGGAGAACAGAGGCGGTTTCAGTGGCCATTCAGTACCAGGGACGGGGGCTGTGCAGAGGGCAGGTGCGCAGGCTCCGGACGGGCTGGGCCGAAGGAGGGAGCGCCATCTCTGGGGTGTAGGAAGCCGGTCTGGAGGCAGCGTGCAGAGGACTCGAGGAGAGAAGGGCAGACGTGAGTGAGGAGGCCAACATCACTGCTCACACAAAGGGCTGGTGGGCGACACCCCGGGGCTGTGGGAACGCAGGGAAGAGCTGGTGCCAGAACAAAGAAACAGCCAACAGCCAGTGTCAACGGACAAGTAGGGACAAAGGTGAAGGAGCGTAAGTCAGAGTGTGGACGTCTGAGAGACATCTGCCAACAACGGGGGGCAAGTCAGGTTGGGCCGTGGGCGCGCTGAGCTGGGAGACACAGAGGTGGTTTAGACATACAGAATTTCAAATGCTGCCAAGACAGTCAAATGGGAACCTGCAGGGGGCAGCTGAGACGCAGCCCTGGAGCCCAGGCGGATGGTGACCAGGGAGCAGGTCTGAGGGCCATTTGCAGGGACGAGAGCTGGATGGGTGAGGGGCTTTGATGGCAAAATTGCAGCGAGAAGCTGAGCAGGAAGCTGAGTGAATGCTGGAGAGTTTACAAAGGATGAGACAGAGTTACAGGAAAGCTTTGGTCAGAGGTAAAGAGTTAACGCTTGCTCTGCAGCTCGGGAGCCAAATGTTCACAGAATCTTCAGGACGGTGGGGTGATAATCAGGGGCGACAACGCCCCAACCTCACATCACCAGGAAGGGGGTGCCGCCGTGACCAGCCTTGCCCAGACACTAATGTGAAGGGCTGCTAGTGGATTCCCTGACAAAGACTATCAGCCTTGAGTATCATCGCATGGGCTTGTGTGCCAATTCAAAAGCGTCAAGCAGTATTAAGCTGGCATGAAAGCACTAATACTGTGAGTAACGGAGTGCCACTGACACTCACAGCTGACAGATTACTTTTGAAGAACACAATTTTTAATTCACAGCTTCAGCGTCAAGTCACAATGTAAAGTTTTTAGAACTCTGCACACATTTCCCCCCGGTTCCCTCCAATTACCCAAATCTCAGTTAGGGGAAGCACAGGCACTTAACAAGATGGGCTGCTGAGTGTCTGATTTTTTTCAATGTTGATTGTGTTGGGCCCAGTTTGCCTCAGTTTCACTGTTAATTACATTAATATTTGGGAACAGACCAGGGTGATTCCCTGTTATCATGATCCTTTTCAGGTATCTCTGGAAACCTCAGAAACAGATCTCCCTTCTCCCACAGAAGGAAATATGATCCACCCCTAGCGGCTGTTTATAGCAGGTGGTGAAGAGCGCTGTGACAGTTTGAACAGTAGCTGTGGGATCTTGCACAGGTTACTTCATCCCTGTAGTTTGTTTTCCCTGTCAGAAAAACAGGGATAAAGTGGTATTGGATAGAACAGAGTAGAAAGTTGTGAGGCTCGTGAGAGACAGCTCCTGGGCCATCAGCAGCAGGTGGTGGCCTTTGCTGTTTTGTTGGAACAATCGAGGAAAAGGGCCTCGCCTCTCTCTTCTTACAGAAGGACACGACAACAAAGCCAGCTAGTGGGTCTGTGCTGGAGCTGTGAGGAATCTGAGCACCACAGCTTTAGGCGGCTGTTAAATCTTCAAGGCTGTAATAATGCCATGGGACGAGATCTGACACCCACCCTCTCTGTTAAGGAATAAAGAAATCACTACCTCAGGCACTGGTTTCAGAGGATCCCAGTATTTACACGTGATTCTCAGAAAGACCCCAGTTCCTGGTTCATCCCTGTACCCCTGGCATGGCCTCTATTGGAAACAGAAGTGGGGGGTTGGGTCTGCATGTTGCCATCAAATGTGTTCCTGCTCAGGGCCACAGCCAAAGCTGGAGCCAGGCACTGCCCCAGGGAACCAACGCCACGAGACACACCTGGCACATTCGCCTAACCCCTCAATGTTATTGGGTGAGAAGTTACTTTAAAGTAATGTTGTATGAAAATCAACAGATACATTTTATGGCACGCATGGGCAACACAAACTGTGCAAGGCGTTTTAAGATAAAACGTGTCTAAAAAGAAATTTCAAGCTTTCTGCATCTAGACCCTCCAGGGGCTCATGTTCATCTTCCTGTGCTGTCAGGAGACCTTCAGTAAGGAAGTCCGGAAACACTGATTTTGGGGATTTAGTTAAAGCCCCCTAAGACAGAGTAACTTAGGCAATGTGGATTAAGTGTTATTCCAGTATTTCATCATGTAAAATAATGTCCCTAAGCAGTGATCAAGATATTTCTCTTTTAAAAACTCTCCTAATCTGGCCCTCCCTGGTGGCGCAGCAGGTTAAAGCCACTTCCACATGAGTTCGATCCCTGCCTGCCCCAGAAGTGACCACATGGCGCGGCAGACCTCTCCTGACCCGCCCGCTGCTCCCTTCAGCAGTGTGCTTCGTTGATCTGCCTGTTCTGCTCCCCACTCTGTCTCTGGTGAATCCTCTCACTGCCCCTGCAACTCTGGCCTGTACCCCAGTTCTGTATGAATAAATAAATCTTAAAAAAAAAAAAAACTCTCCTAATCTGTCCACCAATGGTCCTTACCCCTCTCCACCTTGGTCACCTGCTGCGGCAGATCTCAGAGGAAGCCGCACACAGTGTCATGCTGCTGACAGAGACCTGACAGGCATGCGGGCTACACAACAGCAATCCTCTCTTCTGATTATTCCTCTACAAATAGGGAGTTCTGTAATAACTTTCCAAGTTATTGGCACTGGAGGGAAAAAGCACGAGCTGAAGAGGAAGAGTGATGACATTTAGAAATAGGCTTCGTGGCTGGCTCTAGAATGAGGCGGTGTTACCACTCTCACAAAGCAAAGCACATGATGACATAAGAATAACGTGAGAATAAAGGATGAGCTGCTGCAAAAAATAAAAAGCAAAACCAACCTTAAAACCCAAAATCCAGCAGCTTCGCTAGAGTATTTAACAGATACTTGGTACTTTGTGTGCATTTTCCAAGTCTGCACAAGTCTAACCCATTTTACAGGTGAGGAAAATAGAGGGTGGCCCAGCAAAGCCTATGTCCTTTCCCACAGGATACACTGGCTCCCTTCTCTTCACCTCTGACCCAGACAGCTGGTCCAACCAACACATGACTCTGTCATGTGGAGCAGGAAACACCTTCTTACCTTCAGGGCCCAGTCGCAGTCCACTAGCGCCTTCTGGTACTCCCCGATTTTTATATATGCCTGTAATGACAGAGAGCTGACGGTCACACACAACTCTGCAGCCAGCAGTCTCCACTCAACACAGAAACGAGCAGTGGAAAGCAGAATGGTGGCTGGCAGTAACTGGCCCCTCCCCATCAGCCTGCAGAAGCAGATGGGGTAACTGAAGAGACTTTATGTAGGGACAATCTACAAGGTGAGGGCGGGGCTGAGGGAGGCCTGTAAGAGATGTTACAGCCCCCAGGGCAGAACTGAAGGGGCAAGGGAAGCAATGGGAGAGGACAGCCTCAAGAGCACGGCCTAGTGGGAGCGCTAGCCTTCAGCAGAACCAAGTCTGGGAAAAGAAATACCCTAACCTTTCTTCCTTCTTTCTGATCCCATTAGTTGAATTCAAATGGAAGCTGGAAAGTGGAGCAGCCAATGAGCAACCCACAGAGAGGCCAAAGCAATACCCTACAACACCTCTTCAAGGTTCTAGCGTTTACCTGCTCTTGTTCTAAAACTACAACAAATGATAAAGAACTCAAAGAGACAAACACGAACAAGTGTCGGCGAGAATGTACAACAGCTGGAACCCTCATACACTGCTGGTGGGAATGATTCCAAGTTGGAAGACAATCTGGCAGTCCCTCAAAAGGTTAAACAGTCACCATACGAAGCAGCAATTCAGACCCTGCACAAATGCTCACAGCTGCATCAGTCACTCTGGTAAAAAAAGTGGAAATCGGCCCTCCCTGGTGGCGCAGCGGGTTAAAGCACAGCACTGAGAATCTAAAGCCGCTTCCGCTTGAGTTCGATTCCCGCCTGCCCCAGAGGTGACCACATGGCGAGGCAGACCTCTCCTGACCCGCCCGCTGCTCCCCTCAGCAGTGTACTTCGTCGATCCGCCTATTCTGTTCCCCACTCTGTGTCTGGTGGGGCCTCTCACTGCCCCTGAGCCTCTGGCCTGCACCCCAGTTCTGTATGCACAAATAAATCTTAAAAAAAAAAGTGGAAATCATTTAAATGGCCTCAACCAATGAACGGATGAAACCACAACAAAGAATGACGTGTTAATACGTGAATAAACTTTGAAAACACTACATAAAATGAAAGCGTCAAGGCCAAACTTGTGTGTTCTGACTCATTTGCAATGTCCAGAAAAGGCAGATGTATAGAGGCACAAAGTAGACAGTGATCGCCTAGGGCTGGGCATGAAGGAGAATGGCGGGTTAGGGGTGACTGCTTACAGGGGTGTCTGGTGGGTTGGTGCAAGTTCTAAAATCGGTTATGGTGACAGTTGCAAAACTCTGAATGTGCTAGAAGCATGAATTGTATACTCTAAATGGGCGAGTTGGATATTATCTCCATTTTCTCAATAAGCTGTGACCAGAAAAATGGTAAATAAAAACTCATGCTTCTTTTCTCATAAGTGCAGCCAGGAGAAAATGGCTGATACCTAACACCCACCACGAAGCCTCCATGCCACATGCCTTGGGGCACTTTGGGGACCTCCTAGAATGGGAGTAAATCTTGAAGATCAAGAATTGACTCAAAGTTCTATGATCCACTCAAAATAAACTGACTGAAGAATCTAGTTCATTTATAGTTTCAAAGAACCAGACACATCTAAACAAATGAAAAACAACGTAACATCAAATACAATGGCTGCCGTGTCCTCTGTGTTTCATTATTGGTCACAAAAGGTGCTCAATAAATTCTCAACCTGTAGAAATACAAATACAAACAGGACTTTAAGCATTCTTCTTCTGGAAAATTCCCTATAAAGCAACAATGTTCACCCTGTTGTGAGACAAGAAAGTCAGACTCCCGGAGGAGTCTTTGGGTCCCCTCAGACACCAAGAATGGGGCCACTAATCCTAAGTAGGTCTGCCCCAGTCAAATCTGTACATGGCACGGTGACATTCTTAGCAACAAATATGATGAGATATTTACAGACAAGGCAACGGGGAGGTCTGTATAACTCACGGGGAATCTAAGCATTCAACCAAAGTGAGGAGAGAGCGGCCAACGGTCAGCTAGTGACCTGCGGCAGTAGGCTTCTCACTGAACTGGGCGCTGTACTCACGGAGGACCAGGAAGACCCTTTGGGCTGCCTGTCCTATAAAGCACCACCCTTCCCTCCTGCGCTTGGGTTTCACAGCAAAGTCAGAGGATGCGAAGAAGAGACCAACCCCTCCCAGACAACAGCAGGCACAATTTCAAGACACTATTCAGAAGTCACAAAGACTCTAAAAAAGCCTATTGGTCCCCAAGAAAGTCCCGTCATAACCTTTTACCTTTTCTTTAAGCCTTAGAGTCAATATCCTGTAATTTTCTGGTTTTCTTTTGCCTTTTAACATTTTAAAAAAGAACTACTTTTTCCCAAATGGCAATTAAACTGCTGATTTATCTAAATTACACCAGCAATCTATTGATCATAACATTAGCTCCAGGAGAAAAACAAAGCAACGAAAGGGTAGGTTTTCTTTCTACAAGCAGCAACACTCAACTCACAGGGCCCTTATTAAGTGTTTTCTAACACTGCATGCAAACAGGGGAGGCATTTTAAACATAGTCAATGGTTCAAATGATTCCTAACACCAGGCAGCACACTTTGTATTTATTTTGTCTCTAGAAGCTTTCTCCTTGGGAAAGCTGGAACTGCTTCCTCAAAGCATTTCATTGCATTTACTTCTTTTTATTCATAGTCATTCTTAAAGTGATTCTCCAGAACTACTCAAATTGCTGCTGAAACTTTGGTACGATAAACATGTAACAGAGCTGCGGCAGGTACAGACTGCCAGATTAGATATACGTCTGAATGATATAACATTTTAAAGGCAATTCCATCTTACTCTTTTCACACAACTTCAGAGTAACCAGACTGAGCAAACATCAGTAGGTAGATGTTTTTGAAGAGCTTATTTGGTGATAAATAAAAAGTAACTGTAGTTACTATATTGTTTGCATTAATTGCATTAATGTTTCTTTTGAACAACAGATATTTAAATCTCTTAAACAGACTTACAGTGTCTCCAGAGTTGCTTAGTGGCAAACATTCAATAGAAATAAAACATTAAGGCGAAAGGTATATGGTAGTTTTCACCCTGAAAAAGTTAGGGTGATGAAATGTACATGGCTAAATCCACCTCTGACCATTTTAGTTACCGGTTTACTTCTGCACTATGCTTTTTCTACATACATCAGGCTAGGTAAATGACACTCCACTCCAGTCTGACTGAGCCAAGCAACTGAGCTAATGAGGTTAGACTGTGCTTGGATTTATTTATCATTATATCACCATGGCTCCTCAGAATGTTCAGCCTCCTAATGTCCTCATTCTGGCTCTCAGCACTCCTCCTCAACAGACCACAGCAGGACATTCTTAATCGTGAGCTACAGAAATTGGAGCTCATGAGGGCTTTGCTGCATCCTCTCCCTCCTGCAGGTGACAGGGCATCAAGTTCATCTCACGCAGGTCCTGCTGACATAGCTTCGCTATCCGATAGTCAGGTCCATGAAACTGTCAGGTTTTCAGGCCTGAGCAAAGGTACTTTTCAGGGATATGGTCATAGGTGACAATTTTGTTTTAACCGAGAACCATCAACCTTGTTCCTTCATTAACTCGTAGCTATAAACAGTGGGCCATGGTTTCACCTGGCATTCCAAGAAAACAAACTGATCTGTGAAGAAGATTATAGTATAAGGGATTTTAGGGACTCAAATGTCCGAGAAATTGGCTCTAGGCCCATCCATAGGGGTTCAGTCTATCCCAGACACACAATCTTAATGAAAGAGGGATTGACAGAATGAGTAGGCAATTCATAGGAGAGGAACATTTAGAAGTTTAGACCACAAACGAGGCTGAACAAAGCCAGCTGTGGCAGAATCTCCTGCTCTCATAGTTCCTTTCATTCCATTAATTTTCTCCTATACGCACAGAAACGTGCCTGGTGAACATCAGTATGTGCTGGTGCTGATTTACATCATGGAGAAAACTGATTCAGTGAGGCTCTTCCTAAGTCCTCCTCCAGTGGTTTCAAATTGGTAGCTTGAAGCTGGCCCACAGTGCTCACATCATGGAAACTGGCAGATACTGTGTGCCAGCAGGTACCCCGCACCCCAAACAGCTAGCTGCTGAACGGCAACCAGCACCACACTGGTACCATACAGCCTCAGCTTCCTGTGGCTTCTCAGGTTCCATGGCTACTATTTCCTGAGGGAATCCCAGGGGCACATCTGGGGTCACTGACCTGGGCTCGGTTGGTGTACAGCACTTTCATGTCCTTCAGTTTCTCCAAACCTTCACTGTAGCACTGGATGGCTGCTTCGTAATCACCTTTGACAAAGGCGTTGTTCCCCTTTTCCTTTAGGGCTATGGAAGTGAAAGTCACACAGGTGAGTTCTCCCCACACGCTGGAAGGTTCTTTTAGATAGCATTCTCCAGACTTTTCCCACTCTACTTTGAAGGTCATATTTTCCTTTATTCAAAAGCGACCTGTCATTTGTTTTTCTCTTCCGAAATTCCAGAATTGGCTTGAGGATTTTTTTCTTTAAATCCATCCAAAGTATTAAACTAGCTTCTCAGAAACAGTCTTTCTCCCTCGAGATCTGGAACCACTGTAAGCTTGCCACAAAGACCAAGCCTACAGAACCGATGTCTCATAAAGAGGGTCAAACAAGTAAACGTCCAGCCAACATGTAACCATCCAGCTCAGCAGTCTACACCCATGGAAAGCTGGAAGCCTTCTGTCACACACGTCTGTCACACACACAGCCATGCTGCCTGTACTTCCCCTCTCCGCTCTCCTTTCTCTCACTGTTTTTCCTGCTCCCCTTCACCTATGCTGCAGGCCAGCCATTGGTAGCTCCCACATTTCCCTACTTTCCAAGCATCCATACTGCTCAATCAGATCTGCTAAATCCACCGTCGTGCTTTCCAAAGAGAGCGGACCATGTCCCACTCTGCAGGGAGGCAGGAGCAGAGAACGAAACACCTGTGGTTTCGCCCTGGCGAGGTTCCATCGCCACAGACCCATCACAAGCCAGCTACTGTGATCACCTCAGACTCAGCATAAAGATACAAGCATTTTTCTTACCACAAATCATCCCAGCCATTATGGAAAAGGAAAGATTGACAATTACCATCTGCTAAGATTTTGTTTTCCCTTCTTCTCTTGGCACGCTCCTTTGCATCCTTCTCCACAGACGCCAAGAAGGTCTCTGACACATAATAATTTCAAATATTAAACAGAAAAATTCAAAACACTAAGTCCATTCTTTAGCTCAAGTTCAGATGAAAGCTACTCTAGAGCCACACTGCTCATGCACACGTGGCCGCGTGCAAGCACGTATGTACACACACACACACACACTAAAACAACTAAACTACAATGACATTTTCTTAATTTGATGTGAAATGGTAAGTGGCACACTATAATACATGATAACCATGTCTCTGTGTGTCCGGTCTGAATTATGCCTTTTAAAATGTTTTTCTTTGAACAGATTTTTTGGATTCCATTTAGTATAATGAGCTTTTGAGCTGAGCAACAGAAAACTACCTGGATGCTGTGAGAGTAAACTGGATGATACAGAATAAGTGAATTGAGTTAACAGAAGTTTGGCCAGAAAAACTGGAGAAAAGCCTCTAAGTGCTACCCCACTGACTCCTGGGGACAGAATGTGCTCAGCAAGTTTTGCTCATAGAGTGTTTGTCACCCACAGATTGTAGTCTATGGGCCTGCCAGTTGCAATCTATAAACACTGATCTTAAACAAATGACATGCATTGGGAGAGAGATGCTCGCCTTACCTGCATTTATTTCATCTGCCTTCTGCTGGGCACAGGTTATCATAAAAACAACAACAAAGAAAAAATTCAAAAACTACTGTCTGACTCATGTCTATAAATCAACTGCAAGTGGGGAACAGGGTCATTTCCTCTATCAACACAGGAGGGTCCCAAATTCAGGGCACTTGCTTTAAATCAGGAGACCTGGTAATGAGCACCAGTTAGGGGCGAAGCTTGCTGCGACAGAGCAGCACAAGAGACCCAGCTGTGGGGGCAGGAGTAAGTATCACCTACCCCTTCACAGGACCGCTTAAACATGGCCACAAGCTGAGGGGGGCAGAGGCCAAATTTTCATCAAAACGAATCTAAAGATTGGTTTAAAGATGACCCAGAAAGACCCACGAAAAGATCAGTTCCCAATTCTTCATGGAAATAAACCTAGTGAATTTAAGGAAAAGACGATTTCATCCTCATCAGCCAGTTTAAGATTAAATTACTGCCTCCCCTGAGAGGACACAGGTCTCCTCACTGTATCGACTTATGCAACTGCCACATAAGAAACGGGACCTTCACAGCAGCTTGCGGAGGACTGATCGTGGTCTTGTTCAAAGCGGTCCTGCAACCGTCCTCTTCCTGGACAGTCTCTGCAAGCTGCAATCTCTTTTCTGTCTCAAGGATAGCTTTCTGCTGGGCAACCGGGTCATCAGAATTCATCTCCTGGATCAAACTGGCTAGAGAAGAAATCAGATGTCAATCATTCCAGCAAGGTCTTCAGAGAAAACACTCCTCCCCCCATTAGAAAGGGTGGTGTAGGAAACCCACGGGTAAGAACTTTTATTTTTCCAGCATTGTTGAGATACAATCGGCATGGTGTAAGTTTAAGGTGTATGACGGGATGATCTGACACATGTCTAAACTTCCAAGTGATTCCCACAGTAAGTTAGGTAACACATCCATTTCCGTTTACTTTTTGTGGTAAGAAAATTTAAGATCTATTGCCTTGGCAACTGTCAAGTGCATAAGGCGGCATTATTAACTGTAGTCACCATCTAGCATAGCAGCTCCCCCAAATTTATTCATCTTCTAACTGGAAATTTGTAGCCTTTGACCAACATCTCCCCATTTTTAGAATGTTCTGAATAGAACGAAAAATGAAGCAATTAGAATCAATGAGAAAAAGAATTAAGAACAGAATAATTTTTTTCACAAAAGCTTCAGTTAAAATTTAACTATGATGTTCTTCATGGAATAGAATTTTAGACCATTATTTAATTCAACAACAAATTATGGAAAGCTTACTATAAGTTAGATATTACTTAAATGTTACAGATAACAATGCTAATAAAAACCAGCCCTGTGAAGAGCTTACAATCTCACGTGGGAGACAAACTGGGAACGGGTTGCTGAGATGCCGAAACAGTCCTAACCCCGTCCTCGTCTTCACATGACTGCCCAGCTGAGACCTCATGGCCCACCGCTTGGCCGCCGCGTGCCGCACTTCCTTGCCCTTCCCCCTTCCCCCCCCAAACCCGGAGCTTCACTTGTCTAGGCCTTCACTGGGGAGGCTGAGTACTGATAAAAACCAATGGTGGCCTGGGACGGGTCCTAACTGACTGGACCTCCGGTGATGCCCACGGACCCTGCCACGTATCCTAATACGATTCTGACACAAACTCCAACACGGGACCTTGCTTTCCCACACCGCCAAACAGGTATCTGACACCAACCAGGTGTCCTGCAATTTCACTCAGTGCGACTTTTTTTTTTGTTGATATGCACTTCAACTTGAGTTTCAACTTAAAATTTGTGTTGTCCTCATGAATTTTCCTTTTAAACCCTAGCCTATGGAAAGCCCAACAAATGGCTGAGTGTAGACATGGGCTCCTGCCTCAAGAGGCTTCCAACAAAGCGCAGCCAAAGCGTGGGTGTGGGGAAGGTTTACAGGCACAGGATGGGAGCATCCACCTGATAGAGAAGGGCAGGAAAAGCTTTCTGGGAACTTTGTTTGGAGTGTAAGGGAGCAATGTAAGCCACAAGAGGAAGGTGCCAGCTAACCAAAGGGTAGAGCGCCCACAGGTACCACTCAGACACATGCCAACACGGGCTTGCTACAACCAGGCACTGCACTGGGTAAGTGGGTGCGCCAGTAGGCCCAGCACAGAGCCGAGCATTGCCGGGGTTACAGAGGTGGGGACACAGAGGAGGGCTGCTGGCTTGAAGCCGAAGCTCATAATACAGAACAGCTGTACCTTGAATCTGACCTGCTTCCTTATTATCGAGATTACTCCTGAGGCTGAGAAACACCTGTCACCCGCACGCCCTCTCCCCAACACACGCACACACGCACGCACGCACACACACGGACAAGCTTCACAACAGGAAGCTCAAATTCCTGAGTCAGCTGGAGGTGATCCTTTAATGCCTGCTGCCCTGTCCTCTCTGACACCTACCACCCCTCCCTGTACCACTCACCAGCCCCCCATGATCCACAGCTGCAGAAACAACAGTTGAAAATCAATTCTTACTAAAACCCACACAAAATCAAAAATGAAGAGCAGAAAACACAGTAAAAATGCCAGAACAACAATAACAAAAAAGCCTGAAAGGAGCCTGTCAGTGGGGTGACAAAAAGGGAATTCAGGGCAAGAGTCCTGGTAATGCTGCTGGCATTTACAAAGCAATGGAGGGCATAAAACAACAGAAAAAAGATAATGAAAATATGAGGTCGCTACAATCGAAATAATGGAGTTAAGAAATACTATTGCTGATTTTAAAAAATGTAACTGAGGGCCTCAACAGCAGACACACAGACGGAATGGAGAAAATCGTGAGCTTGCAACTGGGGGTGCACAAGGACCCCAAACTTGCGTCTACAAAAGGGTCTTGCCATCTGCTGCATAAAGACAAAGGCATACCACAAGTGTGATATCTTTAAGCGAATTAACATGCAGAGAGAGAGAGAGGGAGAGCGGAGAATAAAGTTCCTAGTAAGACTTTCACAATAAAACACTGCAAATTACTCAAACCCTCGTGGGCAATGACCAGCCAAAAAGGATCTGCTAGAAGAAAGGGGACTGAGGTCTGAAAGTCTGCCACAAGGCTAAGGTTCCTGTGGGGGAACCACAGGAAAGGAGCTCTAAAACAGGTCCCAGGAGATACTACACAAGATAATGGCTGCCTTCGTCAGCCTGCTTGGCTGTCTCTCACGTGTCTCCTTCCACGTCTTCTCCCCAGCAGTTCCAGGTGCAAGTCAGGTCTCAGGGCAGCTCTCCTCTAGCCCACCTGCCTTCTGTGTTATACAGCCTCACCTGGCCTCCAGCCCCACCCACAGCTCCTCCCCTACTAATGAGTAAGCCCTTCAGAGGGCTCTCTTCATTCCTGTCATGGCTATGAGGGTCTTCCTCAATTGGGTATTTCTGTGCTCAAATGGGAACCTTTCCTTAATCTTGCCTCCCCAGCTGTAGGGGGCTTTTTATCCCGAGTCTCTCAAAAGCACCTCATTCTCACTTCACTACCTCTTCCTCCCACGGTAAACACTCTCCGGTCCTCTCCTCAATGGCCAACTCCTACTCACAAGACTTTTGTTTAAATCTCACTGTTTCAGGGAAGCCTTATCTGACTTGTAACAGACTGTCTCCCCTCCCCTCATATGCTGAAGCCCTCGTTGCCAATGTGACAGTATTTGGATGTAAGGCACTGAGAGCGATAATTAAAGGGGAATGAGGTGATAGGGTGAGGGGGGTCCAAAGATGGGGGTCCTAAGAAGAGAAGGAATATGTGCACATAGGAAAGCACCTGAGGACACAGACAAAGTAGCTGTCCACACATTCAGGATGAGGACCCAGAGAGTCCAGGCCGGCCGCTACTTTATCCTGGACGTCTAGCTTTCAGTACTGTGAGTGAAAAATTCTGTTAAGTCATCCAGTCTATGGAGTTTTGTTATGGCAGCCCAAAGAAGTGAATATAACTCTCTACACTGGGTTAGACTCTCTCTTTTAAAATCAAGTATCACACTTCAAATTGCACTTGGGTATCTGTTTTTTTCCACTGGACTGCAATTATCATGAAGAAAGGTAATTCCGCTCATGGTGAAAGGTCTGTTTCTGTCTCTCTCTGGCTCGCTTGCTCTCCTTCACAGACACAAACACATATTTCTTGCTTATATCACAGTGCAAGGCACATATTCCTAATCAAGCAGTCTTACTGTATTCTCCAGTGCCTACCAATACTTAAAACACAGCAAGAATTGGGCCCTCCCTGGTAGCGCAGCGGGTTGAAGCACAGCACTGAGAAGCTAAAGCCATTTCCGCATGAGTTTGATCCCTGCCTGTCCGGGTGGTGACCCACATGGCGCGGCAGACCTCTCCTGACCCGCCCGCTGCTTCCCTCAGCAGAGTATTTCATCAGTCAGCCTGTTCTGCTCCCCGCTCTGTCTCTGGTGAATCCTCTCAACACCCTTGTACCTCTGGCCTGTACCCCAGTTCTGTATGAATAAATCTAAAAAAAAAAAAAAAAAGCAAGAATTGAAGAAATGTATAGAATCTATACAAATGTAGATATATAAATTTAATTATAAATGAATAAAATTAGAGATCCAGTTTCTCGATAGCCACATGTGACTACTGGACAGAACCTCACAGAAGGTTCTACTGAACAGTATTGGTATACATTAGACCTGCGTGAACTTTGTGTATGAATGAAAGTCAGGTAAAGAAAGATGGGGAAGCAGAGGGAATGGAAAAGGCAACATGTAGACTGGGAACTCTCAGGGTGTGGGGGGGAATTAGAAGCAGTTGTTTCTTCCAGGGAGAGGCCAGAGGTAAGACAAGGTCATGGGAGGACACAAGTCCTGATGAGAACTTGAAATTTATTGTGACTACAGAAAGAATCCAAGCAGAGAAGTGTCTGGGTCAGATTTGCATTTTAGATACATTACTCTGTGGGGAGTATAAGCTTAGAGGCAGGAAAAACAATCAGGGATTGTTGAAATAGTCTGGGTGAGAAGCTGAGAACAAAAGGGGAGGGTCAGAGAGGATGGAGCTGCAGAAAGTCAAACTGAATGGCTGACTGAATACAGGGCTGAGATTTGCAGACGGTCAATATGATCTATAAGCTTCTGGGGTGGTTGTGCCACCAGCTGACACTGTAGTGAAGGGGAAAAAAGGTTTCACTTGAGAGGAGGGCAACAGAGGGAGAAAGAAATGACTAACTCAGTTTTGGACACATTAAGCATGAGGTGTTTGTGGGATACAGTGGCCTAGAGGCTGGGTGGCAATTTAGACCTGCAGTCAGCAGCAAACAGGCGGTAGTTAAAACCATGTGCTTGCCCTAGATCACCTGAAGAGAAAGGTGAGCAGTGGGCCAAGGTGAGCATTTAGGAGTGGGCAGCGGAGAGCCCCACCACAACACAAAGACCACATTATGGAGTATCATTTATGAAGCTACCCAACTGTTATTTAAGCCACCTCATACTTTCGAACCACAGCCAGCTGAAGCAGCAATTTCAACACATTTGTTTGCTATGTAAGGTTTATTGGTTTGCTTGTTTCTATGCCCAAATGAACTCCCCACAGTCTGAGTAGGGACTGACTGCTTTGGAATCTCCTTATGTGAGCTATGGCGTCGGTCATGTCCTTTGAGCTCCAGCCTGTCTGAGTTGGGAAGAGATCTTCTTGCTTAGAGGAAGAGAGAAGGGTACGACAGGAGCCCTCCGTGTAAGCAGGAGGGTCCTGAGGGAGCCATTTGATTTTCTCTCCGCAGTTTTAAACCATACATGGTGGAACCTAAAAATAAAGGATCTCAGACAGACCAAGAGGGCTCTTGGAGGACCATCTCAAAGGGAACTGTTAAGCTCACTGGCAATGAAGAAATAACAGTTTGTTTTGACTTGATTTGAATGGGAAGGAAGAAGATATGGAGAATTGTCAGTATGTGAACTGCTTTGCTACCAATTAACAGCCAGAAAACACTACCTCCAGGCGCTAATTTACTGCTTCTCAATACCTTTCTGTTAAATTTCAATTACATTTTTTCTCCTGAGTTATAAACCTGTCAGGCAACCTAGAAACTAATTTAGATTAATAATTTCTCTTGAGTCGCTTTACTTCTCTATAGAATTTAATTTATGATTTAATGGTACTTACTGATATCATCCACTTTTTTAAGAAATTTCTGCAAGTCTTCCTCTTGATCGTCGGCCATTGTGAGCCAGAATCCCTAAGGGAGGCAGCACAGATGATGAAAATTAATAAGAATAAAACATAAACAGAATTTGCCAGTCTTAATAGCCTTCTAGAACTAAGAGCCAAGTGATTATTTTTTAAGACAGATTTGTGTTTATAAATGTCATGAATAACAGCAGGGTGATCTATTTCACTCTAACTGCTGTGAAAGCCAAGGGACACTCATTATTTGCTGCAATACTTCTGGAAAGTTGCCAGTCCTCTCTTCACTGGGGAACCCACTCTGCAAATGTTCTTCCCAAGTCAACCTTAAGTGCTGTGAATCAGGGCCCTGGCTTGAGGGAGGCCAGAGGAGGCCGCCAGGGAAGGAGGAGGCTAGCACTCGACGCTGACCACGACAGGCAGACCCAGCCGGAAGCCTAAACCTGGCTGTGACAGGAGACCAGAGAAGGGACACACAGCATCTCATTGCTCAAACTTATTTAAAAGATAAGCCTGTTTTTTTTTCCTGAATGAAGAGAAGCTAAAAACGGGCTGAAGTTATTAAACGTGATGGCAGGTGCGCCAGTATCTTCTCCTCTCTAGGTTCTGTGTATTCATTACCGTCCTCGCTTGTAAGGGAAATGACACATGGTGTTATCACGTGGTTCCCAAAACTTCACCCACAGACCGAAAAACTGATGGGAAAACTTGCTGAAAACTGTACACTTTCCTTGCCCTCGTGCAGAGCTTCCCCGTCAGCGACCTGAGAGTACCCAGGAGGGTCTAATTTTAACCTCTGCAGGTGATGCTCATCTGCACCTGAGTGGCAGTCCTGTAGCACCTGTAACTGGGTGGGGCCGTGAGCGCTGATCTCCCCGGACGCCCCAATTACCAGCTGTGTGGGCCAGGTTCAAGTCACCCACTTTCTGAGCCTCACAGTCCCAATCACTGAAAGGACGGGGACACAAGCCCGCGGCACGAGAGGGCTGCCCCGAGGACAGAGGCGAAGGGCGGGGCCGCCGGGCAGTCGGAGCCGGGAACCTTCATCCATAATGGGGGTGCGGGAGGCGGAGAAGGTGCGGCTGAAGTCAATATCGCCCGCCTCTGACACCCAGGGAAGTGAGTTCACTTGCCCACGCAGAAAGAAGGCTCCAGCTCTTCTACTTCCAGGGCAGGGGGATCTAAAGGACCAGGAGGCCAGGGCAGGACGCAGCCTCCGGCGCGCGGAACCCACTTGCAGCCAGTCAGCGCCCGCGGCCCAACCGGACCAGCGCCCAGCCCAGCCGCGCGCCCGCCGCGGACGCTCCGCCCGCGAAGGGGCGGGGCGACGTCCCGTTGCCCGGCAACCGCGCCACAGCGCGGAGCGGGATCCGCGCCGCCACGGAGCTCGCAGCTTGAACCTCTCCATCTGCTGCGGATTGGTCGGCGCTCTCCGCTCGACTCTGGCGGCCAGAGGAGGCCCCTGGCCCCGGGGAAGACCGCAGGCCACCCCGCCGCACTGACCTGAGGCGCCTGGGGACGGGCAGGAAATGGCGGCGGGGAGGGGGCGGGGCCAGGGTTACGGGCGGCGGAGGGGCGTGACCCGCGCGCAGAGGCTCCGCCCCCTACGCGTCAGCGAGCGCGCCCCGCTCAGTTGGAGGCGGGGTTGCGGCTGGGAGCCCAGCGCGGGTCTCGGAGGCGGGAAGTAGCGGGGGCGTCCTGGAGGCTTGTGCGGTTTCTTAATCGCCGCCAGGTTTCTCCTCTTTTTCCTCTGAGGAGGGAAAGGAGTGCCTCACCCCCATTAGTTTACTATTTCTGATCTTAAGAGAGGAAATGTGTTTGGGGGAGACAGGCTTGCATGCGAATGCATTTTTGCTTATTGGTAAATGTAAGACCTTTGAAGAATCATACCCTCAATCAATTTTCACATCTGTAAAATGGAGAAGTGGCCCTTTCTTGTGGGTTTACGGTCAGAATATTCCAGCACATTAGTCACTAGTGTAAAATGTTATTATCTAGAGAATTCTAGGATTTAGAGGCAGAAAAGGCAAAGAACACATTCATCCTCTGAATAGATTCCAATCTCTTTTTTAAAACAAAAATTCAGGGTGTTATGTGCTGGAACAAAAAGGGAGAAAAGCGGTTTGGGGGGAAAGCCCTTCTTGGGTTTAAGCTGATGATCAGAAATTCGTGGCACCTGTTGAAGGTTATTGACCCTTCCGGGAAACCTGTTTGGTAGGATTGGAGGAGCCCTGTGGTTAGAGGGGCGGTGGGGGGGTGGGGTGGGCAGATAGACCCAGCACAGTCTCTGCTCAGCGTGGTGGTCTGCCGCCTCTGCCCTGTGGCTCAGGCCCTGTAGGTGGCCCCTCTGAGCCCCACAGAGAACTGAGGGGCTGCTGGACTGAAATCCTGGAAAGCCGCTGGCACACACTCAGGCCTGCTCTACCACCTGCCTGAGGTCTCCTCTCAGCAGGCCAAGGGGCAGCTCCAGCAGAATAATCCTTCAGCCGGGTGGGGGGATGGCACCTGGGGATGTAGGACAGCCATTTGGGCTGTCCTCAGGGACAGAGGTGCCCCATAAGAAGTGTTAGAGAATGCAGGTGCCAGGCAGGAGCAGAGTTGTTAGTGCCAAGCATACACTGGGGGTTTTCAGGAAGATGGAGTAAACCAGACTCAAGACCGGCCACCTACTGGGCTGAAAGGTCAATAAAATAATCATTTAAATTCTGACTGTGATGTGTGCTTTAAGAAGAAGAGGGTGAAAAGCAGAAGAAGTACAGGGTGCTGTAAAAACCTGGTCTCAAGCCTTGAAGGTCTTCTCTGAGGACTTGATATTAAAGCCGAAATTTACGGGATGAGCAGATCCCGGCCAGTTGAGAGGTGGAAGCAGAGGGGACAGTGTGGCAGCCAGGAAGGAGCCTGGCACAATGGGGAAATACCAGAAGGCCAAGCTTTGCCCAGAGTAAAAACTGGCGCAAGATGATACAGGACCCAGCTCACACAGGGCCTTTCGAGCCAGGTGAAGTTTCTGGATCTTTATCCTAAGTACCATGGGCTGCCTTTGAAGGGTTTTAGCAGAGAGTTACATGCTTAAGCAGTGTGGGGAATGATTTGGAGGGAGGCAAGGGGGTACTGGGAGACAAGACAGGAGGCTGTTGAGTGGGTGTTGGTTGCAGGCCTGGAGAAGGTGGATTTGAAATGTGTCTTGGAGGAGAATTCACAGTAGGGAATTATCAACAGAGACAGTCGGTTTTTGCCAGAGCCAGATGGAGCCTCTCCTTTGGCTGAGATAGAGAAGACTGGAGGAGAAAATGAGTTCCTATTTGGCACGTTCAATTCCCAGTGTCTCTACGTCATTCAAGTAGACATGCTCAGTAAATGCTTTGTTGTCCTTCAGCGTCTACTCTGCTGTTCCTCAGAGCCTGCAAGCTTTAGCAAGGCACAGGCACCTGGATAAACTTCCCAGGTATTCGTACTTGAGACTAGATTCTGACCAACTGAAAACAAGCAGAGTGGTGGGTGTTCCTTCTGGGGTGAAGCCTTACAAAGGTTGCCTTCTCCTTTCCATTTTCTTTGCAATGGCTGGATTGGACAGAAGGGCTGGAGCTAAGTCAGTTCTTTGGACAGTGAAGTAGAAGCATCTCTCCACACTGCCTCCCTGTGAATCACCCAGGCCTGGAGAGCTCTTTTTCATAGCTCCTTTACCTCTCTCCTGGAGGACAAATACTGTTACCTTCACAGAATACCTTTCAGGGTGAGTCTCACACCGGGCAGCTTGATCACCTTAGAGTCAGAAGATCTAGTAAACCCATCACTGGGCTGGCTGCAAAGATTTTAGTTTCTCTCCTTGCAAATACATACATGGGGGGATCTCACCTGCCTATAAACAGGCGATTTGCTTTGTCCAATGGGAAGTAGAAATGCGGCCGAGGCCTTTAATAGCCATGGGACTCATCATCACAGCCAGCACGCCCCTTGCCTCCCCTCCCACCACCCCCAAAGTGGTGGCAGAGGAAGGGGTAGAGGCTGTCTGCCTGTGTCCCTGAGTGAGCAGACACAGACCAGAGGTGCCTGTTGACCTTTGATGGACACAGATGTGCCATCCATGGACTCTTGGCTCCCCTCCATGGGTTCATGGAACTCACCAGGCCATGACTCCATGCTACCATGATGGCTCCACCCAATGTGGGGCCCTTTTGTTACACAGCATCATGCAGCCCATCGTGTCTAATGTGGCCTTGAACAGGCCACTATTCTCTACTTGCTACCAGAGAGCCCTTCCCTTGTGGCTGTGACACCAGCTAGGGACCAGTACTGTGGTTATTGTGACTTACTTTTGAAGTGACCTGTGTTTTCAAACACACAGGTTTTGAAACACATGATTCAAACACGTAGAGGAAAAGAGACTTTTGAGATGTGCAACTTGCATTTCGAATACATTCCTGGTAGAGAAGCTCTCTGAATCCCACGTTCACAGCTGCTGCTCACTGACCTAAATCCCTTGTGTGGTACTTAAGTTTTGCTTTTTCTTTATGTCTCTAATAAAAATCGGAGAACGTTTCGTTGCCTTCCACTGTATCGTAAGGCCGAGCCCTGGCATTATTATAAGCTGTCTCTTCTCTTTCAAGCTGCTCTCCCTGTTGGGTAAACGCTCCTTGCTTTTTGCCTCTTCTCATCAATCATACTTTATAAGCCTAGGAGGGGAAAGGAGGGAAAAGAATTCGTTTTGAGGATGGTAGTTTGAGGAATAAGGGCTCTATCCACGCTGCAGGAATCACAGAGCGCCAATAGGTCAGCTGGGACCAGGAGCCAGATCTGAGCATCCCGTTGGATGAAGCCCCTCCCTGCCAGGTTGGGACTGCAGTTTCCCACTTTTGGGTAATGTCCACTTTAAGATTTAGCTGGGGGGGGGGGTTGCTCCCTCATGGTGCAGCAGGTGAAATCCACAGCTACTGCACATGAGTTCGATCCCCAGCCAGGGAGGTGACTCACATGGCGCAGCAGCCCTCTCCTGACCTGCCTGCTGCTCCCCTCAGCAGGGTACTTCGTCAATCTGCCTGTTCTGCTCCCCACCCTGTCTCTGGTGAATCCCCTCACCCCAGCTTGTATCTATTAAATAAATAAATAAATAAATAAAATTTAAAAAAAGAGAGAGAATAAGAACAGTTAAGGTGGTTGTTGTATCCTAAACAAACAAACAAAAAAGATTTAGTTGGGGAGGAAGCTAAAGGCATTCACCAGTGACTCCCCCCTCTCCAAAGAGAGTTTAAAATGATCTTTGATTCCTCCCTCAAACATATATTCTTTTATGAAAAAAAAAAAAAACACCTAAAATGTAGTTCGAATTCTTCCCTCTTCAAGCCATCCTTGGCCGTTTCTCCTCCCTCCTTACTAGAACAAAGAAATAAGCTCCTGATGTAGTCATAGACTTCCTCTGCCCATAGCAGCAGGCACGTGTCTCCCGGGTGTCCACGTGTAACTGACGACACGACAGCGACTACCACAGCAGCAACAGCAGTGTGACAGCCTACACCCCCAAGGGACTGTGCCCTGTCACCCTCAGCTCTTCACGTGCAGTATCAACCGTGAGCTCAACACGCCTCCACGTTCCTGTGGCCATCTCATGGCACGAAAAGGCAGCTGGGAGGATATGTGGCTTGCCGAGCCTCAGACAGACGAGAACTGGGTCTGAGTGCCCCCCCGGATCTGACTACGGGGTGTCCCCACAGCGCCATGAGCCCCCCTGGAGAGCTCTATTTTAACCCCCTATGGGCAGTGGCCACCTGGGAGCCCGTGGTCCAGCTGAGCCTCGTGGATGTATGACTGTTGGTGCAGCGCTCCGTTTGCTTCACAGGCTGGTCCAACCCTCCAAAGCGGAGGGCTGCATTTCCCTGTGGCCAACGTGCATTCCCCCTACTCCACTGAGGGAATAAGGTGACTCCAACTATCTCCTTTAGAGCCCTACTGTGGATCCTGGATTTCTCTACCTGGATTTCTCATAGGTGCCGAGCACCTATGCCAGGAGCCGGTGGCCCGCTGTAGCTCGTGTGGAGCAGCACTGCCCCCGTGTGGTCATTCTGGGAATAACATGGCCGCGGGGACAGGCAGGAGACCAGCTCAGCCATCAGCCAGCCTGGTTTATTTAATGTTGTTTAACACCTTCAGGTCCGCCATATGCTTAAGTGTCTTCTGTTGCTGCTGATGTTGAGATTGCTTCCATGGGAGGTGTTTGAAATTATGTGAATTTTTTAGGCCCTGGTGACTATTTCACATCTTTACCGGGGTTACTGACACCGCTAGGGGTGATTGGCGCCCCTCAGAAATGATAAAGATGCACCAACTTTGGGCAGTAAGGCTTTGCTAGCCTGCAAGGTTTTGGGGACAAAAGGGCACATGGTCTTCTAGGACTGCAGAATCACTGCCCAGTGTGGTCTGTCGCAAAGTGACAAAAGAATGGGTGCATGTTATTTCTGGCAACTATCTACCTCTTTTTGTGTTCACGTTCCAATTAAGAGCAGATCAACACCGACAAAAAACA